CGTAGCATAAAAATGTTCGGGTTTAACTGGTGCTTCAGGTCTTCATTTCCTTAAGGTAGGTTCCAATGTTACATGAAACTTGTATTAAATATATCTGGATGGTTTTTTCTTGTTATTTTGTTTTTAGTTAGAGGGACCCCAGCCAAGAATTTAGAAAGGTAGAGGAAGAAGGTATTTTTCTTTCCCTACACCAACTTCCCTCTGCTGACTTGTAATCCAGCGCCCAGGACACAGCAACAGCCTTACCTAGACTGCTTAAGCAGCTCCCATGAATGCATGAGCTGTTTAACAACCCCTCTATTCGGTTTCACTCACAGTGATTCTACTCTAATGAAACTTTGACAGACACACCACAGCATTGTTTGAGTAGCATTTGGACTTTATATGTAGTAAGAAATAAAGGGTAGGTGAAATCACTTTTCGAGTATCTGGTTTTGAGTGTCCTAAAACTTGTCTTATTTGATAAGAATCAGCCAAGTCACAAATTTTGCAGACCAGAAAGCAAGGTGCTACCCCCACTTCACAAAAAAGGAAATACAAGTTTCTAGTCATGTTGGCTCATAAGTTACAGAGCTATAAAGTGAACCCAAGTCCTCTAAAAGAAGTGCATAAAAGCCAGTTTTACATGTACCTCTCAAGTAGATTACATACGAGTAAATCAGATCAAATTCAGGAAATAAGAAATTGTGAAGGTTGCCCAGAGCAGAATAGTTCTTTTCATTCCAGTAGAGTACTTGCTTATGAAAACAGATTTTCATTTCTCTATGAAAAATTTTTTAATGCTTGAAAGTGTTAACTTACTTTTCTAAAGTGCTAGATAGTGATTTAGAACCCAAGGATAGCTGCCCTGGCTAGCCTTCAGAGTTATTTTCCATTATGCTTTCTTCTACAACTAGCCTTATTTTTTAAACATATTCAATACATATTTCAAATACTATTGTGTAGTAAAAAAAGACTTGTAATGATGATATTAGTCCTTAATACATGTTTGAAATGTATCAATTAATAATATTAGAAACACAAGTACCATTTACACTTTGAAACTCTTATTGAAGCAAATGAAGAATCAATATAAAAAAGACAGGTTACAACTTACTAAATGGAGAAAAGAAATTATAATTTGAATATGAGTGGATGTATCCCACCCAACCAACATATAGTATGAGTTACAGGTTTTATGTTATAATTATACAAAAGTCTTTGAACTTATATTCTTTTGATTCCAGAAATGGGTCATTCAAATTTTAAGTAGCAAAAGTATTTTAATTTCTTATTTAAATAATTTATGTCTTTGTCCTTTAGAATTTAAGTTTTGTGATTCTTTTTTTTTTCATTTCAAATTCACTGGAGAATAAATATCTTCCTAAATATGACCTCATGATGCCAGTCATCTCAACACATCATTTTTCTCTTTGTCCCTGTTATAAATAACAAAATATCTTTATCAGCTGGAGTATTGTCCAGCACTTCCTTATATCTAAGCATTTAACTATAGATGTGTAACTTGGCAATACAACTTTCTGGGAGTAAAATATGTGGTTGCCAGCCTCCAAAATGGTCGCTGATGAAGCCTATCTACTGCTATTCACACCATTATGTGTCTCTTTCAACACTAAAAAAAGGGCTAACCAATGTAACCAAAAGGATACTGCAGACATGATGATGTGTGATGCCCAAGTGTAGGTCATAAGAGGCATTGTGGCTTCCGCCTTGCTCTCTTTTGGATCACTCTCTCTGGGGGAAGCCAGTTGCCATGTTGGGAAGGTGCACAAGCATTGACTTGACAGCCAAGTGAGTGAGATATCTTGCCAATGGTTCTGTCACCCCTAAAAAATCTTAAAATGTTTGCAGCCCCAGCCAACATCCTTACTGCAATTTCAAGGTATACCCTAAGACAGAGCCACCCATCTAAGTTATCTTCAAATTCTGGACCCACAAAACTGTGTGGAGTGATAAGTGTTTATTGTTGGGATAAACCACTTAATTTGAGGTCATTTATTATGCAGAAATAGGTGACTACTGCAAAATATGACAAGTAATACTTCATATTTTTTATTCTAATGTTGTAGAATGTATTAACTTTTAAAGTTGGTCAAAAACTGACTGGATGAAATAAAAATCTTTATGACAAATATGTTTCTTCATAATGTAAAAAATTGTTTCAAAATCAAAATATCAGCATTATCCATTCCTTTAAGCAAAAAATGTATTAAATGATAGGCACTCAGGTAAAGAGATGAATAAAACTGTCTCTTCCTTGGATAAGTCTAAGTATCTGAGTGAGATGGACAACTAAACTGATACTTATAAACCAATGTGGTAACTGCTGTTAATACAGGTGCCCGGAAGGTACTAAGAATTAAAGCACAGTACAGTGAATTTTCTTAAGACATCTGAGACTATTTCACAAGAAAGGAGTAAGTCTTAAAGGATAAATTCATTCTTCAAGAAAATTGAAGAATGAGTCTCTACTAGTGATATTAATATGTGTTACAATGTTCATGATAAACTAGGTTCTGTTCTATGCACTTCAGACATACTCCCTTATATACTATCTTAACAATCTCATTATATATATATTATTATCCCATTTTACAGATGATGAAACTGAGACAAAGAGCGGCTAAGTGACCTTTCCAATGTCACACAGCTATACACTTATAAGATCTGGGTTTAATGCCACTGAAATCCAGCACCCAAGGTCACATTCTTAACTACTACACTTTCTGCTGTACTGGGAGTGAGGGGGGAATGGTGTGAGTAGAGGCAGGGAGGAGTGAGAGTAAATGCTTTTCTAGGGAAAAAAAAAAAAACAGGAAAGAAGAGCAATAAGTAAGGCTGGAAAATGGGGTGCATGAGTTGAATTACAAGATGGAAATAAACTACTAAGCCAAGGATTTGAACTTCATGCAAATGAATTCATTTCTGAGCAAGAGGAAATATAGTTGATGAAATTTACATTTTATGAAAATACCTTTGGAGCAATGTTAGAGAGGAAAGACTAGATGAGGGAGACAAGAAGATTTTGCATTAGCCTCCTCAAAAGAGAATCAAGAGCTGAAGTGGAGTAAGAGAGATAGTGGTAGTCAGAAGAAGCAAATTTAGGAGACATATGAGGGTCAGTTAGCTGGCAGAGAGTATGATTGATCAGTTGCCTAATAGATTGAAAATATGACTTGCAGGTTTCTTTTTGTAGGGAGTAGATAGATGGTTGGGTCATTAATAAACACATAAAAACCTTAAGGATGAGGTCATCACATAGAAGATGTGCTTGACACACATTTCTTGAAAGAAGAAATGAAGTAGTAATAATAGAGAAGCTACTGTTTTCCTTATCAGACACAGTTCCAGTAACACGGGCATTATCCATAGCACCAAATTAAGTGGTCCAAGGAAGCTCTACTGTGGATTCTATCTTCCATTTAAGCAATCTAGTCTGAAAGTCTAATTACAGGTAGCTACTCATTTTATAAAATAATTCAGAACAAATTCCACAGTAATTTCTGTAGTAGGCTTATTAAATTATTAACTTTACAAATATTATTGACATGTAATTCTTAAAATGCATCTGAAAAATTTAAAAACTGTATTTTATGATCATATTGGGCTCTAAAATTTAAATGAATGAAATTCTAAAGGAAGAAAGAATGGATGAAATATCACAGTCAATACAGGCTCAAAGGAAATGAAATCTCCTAGAGTAATGTAACCACCTGTTTTTGACTTAAAATTTTAGGTCTTAATTTTGTATTATGGGCATTCAATTGCATATGCTCTCAATTCCTACATTACATAATATACCAAAAGTATTGACTGGTAAGATCAGAGATGTATGGCTCTGGATAAATACTCCTTTGTCTTTGGCTGACATCATGATGCTCATTTTAGTGCAACTACCAGTGGTACAGCAGGCAGAGTCATCTCTGTCACACCTCATGTCAATAAACACAAATAATACAGTTTTATGGCTTTGTGACATTTATACTTGCATTTCCTTTAACATACCCTTTCCTGGCACATAGCAGGTACTTGATAAATAACTGTTACATGACTAAAATGCCATAATGAAAAGTAAAGGACCCCTGAATGTGTAGAATGTAACTTACAATATTTATAGTTTCCGGGTTCTACTGATCCCTCTCTGGAGAAAGAAAATGAGGGAAGGTGCAAATATGAAGGAGCACTTTAAGAAGATAATGAAATGCTTTGCTTGTGGTAAAAAGTGATAAGCATAAATTCATTCATCTATTCATTTAATATTTATTGAGCACCTGACTAATTCCTTCCCCCAAGGAACTCACAAGTCATTAAGGCATGTCAGATGTGGAAAAGGACAGATATAGTTTAAAAAATAAAGGAAGACCTTGAACAAAATGATAAACAATATATTCAAAGTTTGAATAGACCATAATGAAAATCTATCTATCCCCACTTGTGTTTTTCCTATTTTACTCCAAATTCATAAGAACACATGGCCACCCAAGCTGTAGTATCTTATTACAAGTAATTCTGGAAAACCCTTTTAACACTCTATATTCAAAGAGAATGCTTAGAAAGGAAGGTTGAAGCCAGATGGTAGAGGAACTTAAAAATTCTTTAAACAATTTTCCATTTGTCCAGAAGTTTTTTTATTTGGTTTAGTTTCATTTTATATTGTCAGGTATAAAACCTAGAAATTATCCTTTATGAATGGTCTATAAAATCCCTGTTCCCAAACCAAATAGCCACCAAAATACTTATCATGACCTCCATGAAACTGCAACATTCAGCCTTCGTTCAGCTCTATAAATAAAGAAGTATATATATCCCATCCGAAATCAGTGAGTAACCACAGGCAAAAAAGAATGGAAGGAAAGCGTGAAGACATGAGCTAGACTCAGTGACACTTCGCAACATTCGTGGGGTGCTTTATTTCTCACATGAAGAGAAACAAAGCCCCAGCTGAGGAGAATATTCTTTTCTTTCATTTAAAACCCAAATTCCTGAAAACTTGATCTTACCTGAAAAGTTTTTGTAATCCACTAAGTCAAACATAACAACAGCAACAGCTGACCAGGTGATGATCAGAGCAATGACCAGCAGCCAGGCAGCCGGAGAGCTGAATGTCGTCACTATGTCTTCCGTCACTGCCCTCTTCAATGTTCTTCCAGGGGATTTGGGCACAGATCCATTTTTGCTGTCTATGACAGTTGTGGTAGTAGATGCATTGCCTGACATTTGGAAAGGAGAATTTCAACTTAGAATTTCACATCAAATATTGATGACAAAAAAAAACGACTGTAGAAGTATATGTGAATTGCTTGTACCATGCTCTGTAGTAGAACACACCTCTTTGGTAGCGGGGCCTTACTTCCCTGCCCACTACCACATTATCTCTTCCTCAGTATTTGCCCTCTACCCTGAAACCCTCATAATCAACATCCCTTTTCTCCTTCAAGTGTCATCAGTCCTGCCATCCAGGCCACAGACTGTCAATATCTTCTATCATTTTTACTTCTCCCTTACAGCCTCCTATATCCACTACCATCAAGAACAATCAGCTTTGATAAAGTTGTTTTTTAATACTGTTTTCCATTATTTAGGTTCCTATATCAGTTCTGAAGACAAGTAAAACACCTCTTCTGGGGGAGAATTAGAATCAGTGATAAAATCATTCAAGTGAATGAAATTCCTTTTGGATATCTTGGCTTAACTGCATAACTGACCCTTCTGTTGGGGCCATTCACTTTTATTTGTGAAGAGGCACAGATGATCTAAGGCATAATGGTAGAAAATCCTATTATATTCAATAACTTCTTTATTCCTGCTTTCAAAAAGTCTACATGTTCATGAGAGAAAATTTAAAAAATATAAAAAATAGCAAAACAAATATATAACTAATCATTTATAATTGTCACTAACCATAAGCAACTGTTAACATATTATTCTATTTACACCTACTTTTCTGCACATACATACAAATATATACATGTTTTATTTTTTTGACAAGTTATCATCACATTGTCCTTTAGGCTTTTTACTAGGTGTTATATAATAGACATGTTCTTTTGCCATATGTATTCCATAAAATAACACTTAAGTGGTTGCATGGTATGTCTTTTAAGCATAATTTATTCAAATTGCTTTCTACCTTGGGACATGGCAGAATATTTCTCAGCACACACTAATTCTTCCATTAGGAGAATTTCTGGGGTGAATCACATAATTGCTTTTATATCTTTTGAGAATATATGTATCTATCTGAAAATGTGCATATTATTGCAAACTGTAAATGCCAGCAGTCTGTTTCCTTATCCTTGACAATATTGGGTATAACCATTGTTCAAAATATATGCAATCACATGTGAAGAAAATTCTTCTTGATTTGAAATTCTTTGATTACTAGAGATGAGCTTTCTATGCATTTATTTTTCCTCTATATTTCTTGTGAAATTTTTGGTCCGTTTTTCTATAAGCCTCCTCTTGGTTGTTTATAACATGCATACACATATACATACATATATATCTATGCATCTATTTTTATATATGCATGTTCAAATATCTTTGTGTATACATGTATGTGTATTTACATGTATGCATGCTATAGATATGTATGTGTATGCATAAGAACACACATATGATAGAAACAATTTATCTGACCTTAGATTGCAATTTTTCCCTCAACTGTTTACCTTTCTCTTTTTATGGTATTTTTATATATAGAATTGGCATTTAAAAATTGTGTAACTTTTTCATTCTTCTCCTTAAAGTGGCTGCCTTTGCAGGGTTAAGAAACCCCCCTCAATGGAGAGCAGGCATATTTGATTATATTGCAGCCCCTGATAGAAAGTTAAGGCTAGAGAAAACAGAGGTCATATGAAACAACTTTATCATGTTACGTTTAAGAACAATTGAAGTCTAGCCAGAAAATGTAAGTGACTTTCATGGCATGTTTGATCCCAAATTACACAAATGTGTAGTAAATAATTGAATACTAAAGAGAAAAAAATCCCTAACAATCCAAATACTTCTGCCAAAAATCACAGTTTAACAATGTATTTCATATGTTTTAAATATGGGCCACATTTTCTATAATAATTTAAGAATTACATACCAAGAAAGAAAATTTTGATTAACCATATTTTAATATAATTAAATATTTTCTTCAGTTTTACTAGTTATTTTCAAATTACATTGCCAGATTAAAAAACCAAACTCCATTATTTTCAAACTTTTTTGGAACTTTTAGCAAAATAAATTTCACTTAACTAGAAATATTACTTGTAGTTACCCTTAGAGTGTGCTAAATAAGATATCAAAGTTTAAATATTTTAAAACCAAAAGGAATTCTTTTTACTCCTTGAAGGCCTCAGAGTGAAATTAAAGCACTTTTTGTCATTCTTCTGTCTCTTGCTTTACCTTCCACAATTCTTTCTTAAATTTTGTCTCAATTTTCTTGGAAACAGTAATGCACAAAAGTCGTGCCACAGGTTACATAGAGAGGAGAGATGGAGATTAACTACTGGCTCCTCCCTGAATTAGCTGAGTGGCTGGAAGGTCCCCTACACCTCACCTGAGTGTGAAGCATCTATACTTGAGGCCTAAGGTTGGTAAGGCTTAACTTGCAGGCTTATGTTGGTAGAGAAATAACTCACATCAATTGCTTGGCATATTTCCTGCTACATGGAATAATTATTCAATAAATGGCAATACAACAGCTACTAAACTACATCTTCATTATTATCACCACCATCACCATCCTTACTTTTACCACTGCTTCTATGGCTGCTACCGCACCTGTGATCACAGCCTACTATCATTATAAGGAAAGGCTAGAAAAGCACATAGACCTGAAGAGTAGGGGTTGAGAGACCACGCTTCAGTAAACTCAGGCACTTGTTTCTACTTAATAATCACATACATTAGGTTAAGATACTTTCAGGGAACCAAAAAAGGATGCTGACTCCCTCAATGTCCTTCCCAGTCAATTAATTTACTTCTTGTAATACAGGAAAGGAGGATACATAATTTATTCATACTAATGTAGGCTGTTTGCCCCATTAACAAAATTGAGATGATCTATAATAAAGTTATTTTATAGTACAGAAGTTATCAGTGTAACTGAATTCTTTAGAGAGAAAAAGTTTGAACCATCAAAAAAATGTGTGTACACCACGCTTCTAGTATAAATCCAGTTCATATGGCAATTTGTGGTTTTTGGGGTAAGAAATAAAAATACTGCATGCAAAATTGAGTATTTTAATTAAAGTGTTACTATTTTTATTTTCTCCTTTAGCCATAAAATGGTACTATTCTTCTTTTTATAAAAATAAGATCAATGACATAAAATTCTATTGACTACAGAAAAGAATTCAAGGATACATATGTGGGGAAAATTGAAACTTGTATGGCCAGGATCCTCACCTGAACCTAAATTACTAGGTGATGTAACTGGCCTACTGCTAGGCTACTGCTTCCATACCCATAGACAATAAGCTACTGTTGAGTGCGTCACTATATAAAGAGCTCTGCCCAGTGCTCTGGGTGAAGGCAGAGATGAAGGAGGATTACAGACCTGCAGACTGCTCGATGCAGATGTACTTCTAGTGCTCGACCTATCGCTGTGAGAACAAGCTGGGTAATAAACCCTTTTACCCCATGAACATTCCATTGTCATTCCTCGGTCTCACTGAATCCATGATGAATTTGCCTGGGGCTGAAACCCATTGGCAAGACAACATAGTAGTAGTTATTAATAATAACCAAACATAACTAATGCAACTATTTTTTAGATGACAATGGTGAATCTAGGCCCATGCTTTTAAGAGATTAAAAGTTTAATGATGAACATCGGAGAAAAAATAATTTAAGATTTTAAAATGAATTTAGGTAGAAATTAATAATAGTGACAATGAATCTCTTTTTTTCTCTGAAAAACTATGTGAATACATATCCCAAGTTCATGAACTCAATTTAGTTGAAATGATGGCAAGATGGAGAAATAATTTAAAAAACAGATCTCACAGACTGTACTTGAGAAGATGCTCAAAGAAGGAAAAATTAGAAAGAACTATCATATTCTCTCATTGATTTTTGTGCCAAATTCCCATCACTTCTAATGGCAGTTCTGAAAATGGATGAATGATAGGAGTGCTTTGAAATGTAATTGAAGACCCAAGTGGGGCTACAAGTGAATCAAACCTTTGGAATAATGATTTGAGGGAGAGTAAGTGAATTATAAGTGTTTCGGCGAGTCCCACCTGAAAGTTGATATGTTGCTGATTTCCAGTTAACCTCCGGAAGGCTCCCTATTACCCTGTATAGAGTATCTTAGAAGAATTGCCTTGGTACTTCAGATTCACTTCAGTGAACTGTGTATTAGAGCGTATTTCTGGAGACAATATCACACACACCTGCTTGTTATCTTGAAACTGAAAGAACAAATTTACTGAGATTTGATATGAATTATATGAATCCTGGTCACATTTTTAAAGGACAGAAATATTTTAAAGGAACAAGAATTTCTATTTTGTTTATCTTACGACTGGAAAAATGAGAAACTATAAATTCAGGAAGCAAAGCAAGTTCAGAATTTAAATATGAGTAATTTTTTAAAAGAATGGATATTAATATGAATTCCAGATTTTATTTCACAATTATGGTACAAAACTTTAAATAGATGAAAATGGTAAAGTTAACTTGAAATGATTTTTGTTTTAATTTGCTCTTTCCACTTACGAGCTAATCAAGATTCAGAGGTGATGAAAATATATTTTGAGTATCAACTACAGAACCATAAGCAATTTGAAAGTAATTTGAAGGTTATCCTGCTTAAGGAGAATCATGTGTTGCCTTTGTTATGGAAACACACTAAGTCTTACCTTTCATTTTCCATTCAAATTTACTGCAGAAGCCACACAGAGCCAAAAGGAATAAAATTGAGGGGAAATAAATTGCCTTCTCGGACAGCTGGTCAAGATAAATGCAAAGAACAGAGTGTGTAATCTGGGATTATTTAATGTTTGAAAAACACTTTGAAGATGACAAGAACTAGTTATTGATATGGTGGAAAAAAATGAGAGGTGAAACTTACTGAGCAATTTGACATGGATGATGCTTCTTGAAAGTTGGCATCTCTGAGCAGCTAGGATATGTGACTGTCCTTTCCATGCCTACTTCTTAATTCCATTCATTTTAATTTCATACAAATTATTTTGACTGCCAGAGACCC